GTTGAGCCTGCAGAGCAAGAGGTAAATTATTTATTAATTTTATTGTTATAATACCAACTATTTTTAAAAGCAAACGACAATATATGAATATATATATATAGAAAGAAGATCTAGCTGCTGCTATCGCGGCTTCCCTCCAAGACATACAAATCAGTACAACTCAAAATTCACATGCCTACAACGTATCTGATTACTCACCTTATAAGACAAGTAAGACAAGTATGCACGAATTGTTACCAATGGAAGCCGAGGATATTTATAACTTTTCAGAAGCGCTTGAACGAATTCGACAAAGTGGAGGTGATTTGATGAGAGATCGTCAAGTTCAGGTTTGTTTTCGATTTAAACATATATGATTCTGTAAAAATAAGGTACAAACTTGAAGATTTATTACCTTCTTATTAGGAATTGCATGAACGAGTCGTGGATCTGAAAACAAAATTGACGAAAAATTTGACCGAAACGATACAAAAACATCGTAAGTTGTTTAAATATTTAAATATGCATTAAAAAAATAGAAATGTAACTTTTTTAATGAAAATCCGTTATTTTATTCTTACCTTCTTGCTTTAAATTGTTTATTCATGTAACATGTGTCACACACACGCACAGGGTCATTTATACCGATGTGCGGTAATGTTGTTGTTTTAGAAGAACAATCACCACAGTATGTATGACCACAATTTCTGCAATGATGCTAATTATACCAGGTTGAATACTATTAATAAATTTTCTATGAAATTATAAAGGAATTCGGTTGAAAAATTTTGTTGAATACCTTTCGATTTATCATGGTAAATGGTGCTCTACATCGCTCGCAAGATTCACTATCAGTCCATTCAGGTGGCTTAATTCACATTAACAAATATAAAATTAGCATTTATTCTATAATTTTATAAATTATGAATCAAGGAATTGAAATGTTACCGTCGCAGTATCAATCATGACTGCAGTTGCCTTATCAACTTTTGGAAATATACAACCTGAAAATAATTACGATATAAAGATCAGTTATTGGCAAAAGATAATGATGATAATAAATCAATGACATACCCTCGTGTTTTAACAATTTATAGGTGTCCGTTACGTACGTAAGTCCGGGTTTACCCTCAAAAGCTGTACCCCACATTTGAATCAATCCAAGCAATTTATGTACGACTTCAGAATTGGAATTATTCTAACATATAATTCACATAAAGTTAGTGAAAGCATTAGACGATAGTAAAGTTATACAACAATGTTTACCGATTTTATAATGGACACTAAAGTGTCGACAAAGTCCCTCGACGCGACTTCAATTAGGAAATGATGCCCACCATTTTTGACACAAGTATCAGTCAACTACATAAAAATTTATTCAACAAATTCATTTAATATTTTATCAAATTTTATTTGAAAATTCATGCCCGCAAAAGCTTACACTAAGTGCCAAAAGTTGAACATTCGGATTGTTATGAGTGATTCTTTTTTTTAGAACTTTCAACGCCTCTTTAGGCTGGACCGACTTACTACGGATTTGATCACTTATATCGAGATACAGAGGTAAATTATCTTGACCTTTAGGAATCAATTCGGAGGTGGCTTTTTCTAAAGGCATACACAATTTGGTCAATTTAATAATGAAGTTTAACTTGCAAAATTTCAAGAAAATAGGGGTAACATTAAATGTACTCACCCACTGATTCTTCAAAAGGATTAACGCCAAAAATTCTCGTAACCATGTTCAATAATTTTTTTGATTAAAAAACTTGGAAGAATCTTTGTGAACGTAGGAATTGCACTTAAATAGCCCGACTATAAGAGAATTACCGCATTAATTGTGATTTGGCTAAATTATAAACTTGTTAGTGTTGCACAGGATATTATTAAGACTGATTACGTATCGTTATAGAATCTATATTTAAATTTACCAAATTAAAAAAACGTAGCGGTTCTACGTATCCCGATTATAACACTGCGATTTTATCACCAAACTTTCTAGAAGAATTACGTCCATACATATGGTACAATCCCTTAGACTTCCATTTCGACGTAGTCACATCCAATAGAGGTACATGACTTCTAGGTATGGTACTACTAAAGCATAGAGATTGTTAGAATCTTGATGTAGTCACATTATATAGTATATATTTAAGATTTGCAGGGCAAATTTGCCTTTTAAGGGTACGTACGTACGTACGTACGTAAGTAGAATCCTGGCATTACCAGCCTAAAAAATTTATATTTGTTGTAAGTGGGAGGAATTTCTTAGTTAAATTAGCATTTCAGGGTGGTGTTTGTTTTACATAAACCCTATACCCTATTCTAAGAAAAATCCCGTTCCCGCTTACAGCATATCAGATATATACGTATACGTACTAATAAATAGCTACGTACGTATTAAAATTTATTTGCTTCTTGCAATCGCTGTACTATATATATTTTTTTTTTAATCTGTAAACTATTCTAGACTATACATTATACAAACAAATAAAATTGGTTTTTATTAGGCCATACAAATTTATTTCTTGGTTTTTATGAGACTTTTAAATAGATTATATATATAATTTGAATTTTACTATATAATTTCAATAAAGACAAAATAGTATATCGATAGAGCATTGCTAATCGAGGGCGCAGTTCCGACATAATCAGCCAATAATAAATCACAATTTTGTGTATCGTAACACATTCAAAACAAACGTTCATTTTGAAAAAATCGCTTGCTTCGCTTATGAGATCACTTTCGATGTTCTAACAAGAAAAATTCCTTGCTAAATTTTAAATATACATGACATCTTGCTAAAACTCTAAGCCTTGCCCTAACCCTAAAATAAACGAACTAAAATTTTTCCGATTAAATCATGTCTGCGCCC